GCTTTGGATTTGGTTGCAAAATAAAGCCATCCTTTACTTGGATATGTATTCACCCTTCCCATTGAAGTCAAAGAAAAAAAACATTCCATTTTGCCTAATGAAACTAAGGTGGGAAATTAAGTGTGGCATTTTAGAACAGTCTACATATAGGCCTTCTATGTGAGGTTTAGCATGTGGGAAAGGAGAGGGATTTGTGTCAAAGAGTCATAAAGTTCTGTTCCACCTGCCAGGTAATACAGAACAGAAAAACAACAAAGAAAATACTCCGATAAGATCAATATAGGCTGGGCGCGGTGGCTCACACCTGTAATCTCAGCACTTTGGGAGGCCAAGGCGGGCGGATCACAAGGTCAGGAGTTCGAGACCATCCTGCCTAACACGGTGAAACCCCGTCTCTACTAAAAATACAAGAAAATTAGCTGGGCATGGTGGCGGGCGCCTATAGTCCCAGCTACTCGGGAGGCTGAGGCAGGAGAATGGCGTGAACCCGGGAGGCGGAGGTTGCGAGCGGAGATCGTGCCACTGCACTCCAGCCTGGGTGACAGAGCGAAACTCCGTCTCAAAAAGAAAAAAAAAAGATCAATACAAAGTGTCTGTGTTCAAATAAGTCCACGTTCACATGTTGGTTTTTTAATGCTATTAGCTTACACTGCTTGACCTTAACAGTTTTTCTAACAAAGTAGCATGGGATAAAGCCCATTTTCATGCTGTGTGTTGAGTTTTTTTTTGTTTTGTTTTATTTAAACATTAATTTTCCTGATGTAAGGACATCTGTATGCCTCTTATGATTATATTGTAATTGACTTTGATGAAAACAGTAGTTCACAGAAGGGACAAGATCATTTATTGGGAGGACAAAAATCATTCTTTTAAATCAGATTTCTAGGCTGCCATGTGAAGCAGTGGAAAGTTCTGATCCCCATCTGAGCTTCATTGCTAAACTATAGCACTCCACCCTTGAAAATGAAACAGCCTGTGGATTTATTATCTAAATGGGTAATATGACTCTGAGCTACTGAGACGACCAAGCTGAGTCCCCCATGCTGTGACTATGCACGTGTTTATGGGCATGTACATACATATCTATCTTTATATAAATCACTAATAAGATGGGTAAGTGTCTAGCATGCAGTAGATGCTAAAGCAAATGTTGAATCTTTGTTACTCAGATAGGTATATGGACATTAAACTGCCTCAAAGAAATGTTTTAAGGTCTAATAATGTGAATTCAAAACATTTGAGAAATAAATATTTTCACTTTCCCTTTTTCTTATTCGTTTTCCTGTTAAACTATAATCTTGACACTTCCAATAACCTTTATGAGATTCTAGTTTCCTATTAACTGAAGGATAGTGATGTACTCAAAATCACCAGTTACTTGGAACTTTGTTTCCTTATTCTTCTGTTTTCCTTTGTTTTGGTTAACTATTTTTTATCTAGCTTCCTCATTCCAAGTGCAAAATTCACTGATATTACTGGAGACAAATTATGTAGCAACTTTTTTTTTTTAGAATAACCCCATTTTTGTCAGTGTCTTTTAACCACTCAGTTATGTTGTCTTCTTCTGGTTAGGGGACAGCGTGGGGAGTGCAGACAGGAACAAGTAGAGGGCATACTGTTTAAGAGATCTTCTGTAAATAGAAGTTCTTGTCAGGCGCGATGGCTCACTCCTGTAATCCTAGCACTGTGGGAAGCCAAGGTGGGCGGATCACCTGAGATCAGGAGTTTGAGACCAGCCTGGCCAACATGACGAAATCCCGTCTCTACTAAAAACCTAAAAATTAGCTGGGTGTGGTGGCGCACGCCTGTAATCACAGCTGCTTGGAAGGCTAGGGCAGGAGAATCGCTTGAACCTGGGAGGCGGAGGCTGCAGTGAGCCGAGACTGTGCCATTGCACTCCAGCCTGGGTGACAAGAGCGAAACTCCATCTCAAAAATAAATAAATAAATAACTAGCACTTCTCTCAGCTGGGCTTTGGGTGGGTCTTTGAAGTTAGCGGTTTCCTCTGATGAGGGTCAGGAGTACTGGTGTTCTAGGTTGCTGATAAAGAAAGATTCATATGATCTGGAAACCGAGATGTAGGCAGTGGGATTTACTTCATGTCACAAACAGGGGAACTGCTTCTTTTCCTGGACAGGAGCGCTCAGCATCTCCAGACAGACCACAGAGAAAACTACAAGTAATGCCAGAATTTTCCACAGGAAGCTTCGATGGATCTTTTCCAGCACGTGAACAATTGCTCAATTAAATCCCCAGAGTTCCACGCCGTAAAGAAGGGCAGAAACTCTTCTGGCGTAGTTTCTCAGGGCAGGTGTTATCCATTGCTGGCTGTGGCTTTAGAAAAGCCTGGCGTTTCCACAAATCCCTGATTTCAGGCTACATGTTGCCTCAAGAAACTCATAAAGATGAGTGAAAATATGTTCCTAGGTACCTGGAGGGGTTGACTTGATCTAGGAAGTTATCTGATAGATCAATGGGATCCATATGAAACAGGGATTTTAATTTAGTTAATATTCAGCAATTTTATTTAGGAGTACTTTGATACCAGGATAAAAGTTACTTTTAAGATATTAATTTCGGCTGGGCTCATGCCTGTAATCCCAATACTTTGGGGAGGCTGAGGCGGGTGGATCACCTGAGGTCAGGAGTTCAAGACCAGCCTGGCAAACATGACAAAACCCCATCTCTACTAAAAATACAAAAAATTAGCCACACTGATGACGTGCACCTGTAGTCCCAGCTACTCAGGAGGCTGAGGCACAAGAATCACTTGAACCTGGCAGGCGGAGGTTGCAGAGTGAGCCAAGATCGCACCAAGGCACTCGAGCCTGGGAGAAAAAGTGAAACTCTGTCTCAAAAATAAAATAAAAATTTAAAAGATATTAATTTATATCATCAGCAATACCAGAAAAGCACGTGTTAATTTAATATCTTTGAAATTATATACCCAGCAAAATGTTCTGACAGAAGCAGGGGAGGGGAAGTGATTCTCCTAGATGTCGGTGACAGTGGGCATCTGCCACGTGCCAGGCAGCAAGCCAGCCTCTTCCACAGCACAGCACCGAATGCACACACCCTGCCTGTGAGGTGGCTCGCAGGCTTTCCATTTCCACTCATGAGGAGCCTGAGGAGCAGCAATTGAAGTGATGCCAAGGCCCTGCAGTCAGTAGGTGGAAAAGCTAAGCCTCGGACGCAGATCTTCTAACTGAATCCAGCTTTCTTTGAGATAGTCAAACCCAAGAGAAACGCTGGAGAGCACTGCTGGGCATAACCAGGGTATTTGACACATGCATCTCATCTCACAGATCTGTGTGACCTAATGGTAAAGCCTGCATGACCATTCACTTCAAGCCTCTACCTTTGCTTCCCCTGTTTAAACTGATTTTTTAAAGTAAAACTATGCCCTGAGATTGATGTCAAATACTAAGTTTTCCTCTCTCCAAGAATCTCTTTCTTCTCTCCTGCTAACTTCTGTTCCCGCCTAAGGAACGCTAATCCTGGGCCCCTCATCCCCTGCCTTTCGGAGGCATTGCAGCTGCCTGGGAAGACGGGAGGAGGAGGAGACTGGTGAAGAAGAGGGAGAAGGAGAAGAGAGTGAGGGATGAGGGGAGGAAGGAGGCGAGAGAGATCCTTACTGATAGTATTCTGATTGGTCAATAAGAACTTCAAGGGAGGCTCAGCCTCTGTAGCACCTATAGTTCAAAAAATCATGAGGCTGTCTGTTAGGCTGTTCTTGCATTGCTGTAAAGAAGTATCTGAGGCTTGGTAATTTATTAAGAGGTATAATTGACTCACAGTTCTCCAGGCTGTACAAGCATGGTGCTAGCATCTGCTCGCCTTCTGGTGAGGCCTCAGGGAGCCCTTACTCATGTCAAAGGCAAAACAGGAGCAGGTGTATCACATGGTGACGGCAGAAACAAGAGAAGTGGGCAGGTGCCACACACTTTTAAATAATCAGATCTAAACGACAGCACCATGCCATGCATGAGGGATCCACCCCGTGACCCAAACACCTCCCACCAGGCCGCACCTCCAGCACTGAGGATTATAATTCAACATCAGAACTGGAGGGTCAGACCCAAGCTATATCAGGCTGGGACTGTGAGAAATGGAAGGTCAGAGATTTCAAGGTCATCTAGTCCAATCTCTTTTTTACAGATAAGAGAGCTGAGATCTGGAAAGAGAGATGACTTGTCTAGGGTGACATAACTAGTCACTAAAATGGATGTCATTATTGCATCATGCAGAGATGTGTAGATTTTAAAGCACTTTCACCACCTCACTTCATTGCCTCACAACAGTCCTCTGTGAGATGTTTGTCGAATGTCACGTAAGCGTGCAAACAGTTCCCTTTTGACTGTACCACTATGGAGGGAACTCACAGATTATGTAAGACAAACCAAATGGCTTCTAAAACTGATTTCGATTCTAAAGTTAGTTTTCCAAATGAGGAAACTGGTTCAGAAAGGGAAATGATTGACCAAAAATATCATTGCTCAACTAATGATTGCACTAAGTCCAGAGCCCAGGAAAATTTCTGTACTTTTTATTCAGAAAAAAAGATGAGACAGGCCTACAGGACTAGATGAGCCACACTGGAAAAAGTTCAGTATTGAAAATATATTTTGGATGACACTGACATTTATTCTTGAAAGTTTTTACTAAGTTATTAGATATTTGAATATCATAACAAGTTATATATTCTAATATAATTGCATTGAACCTATATGAATCCATTAACATTTTACATAAATAGGCTTTTGGATGTTATTTAGGTCATTTGGTATAAAAGGATATATAATATTTATGAGCAAGGGTAGAGCTAGAAAAAAATTGTGTTAAGAGAAATTTGTATTAGTGTATCTTTTGCTTATAAATTAAAGATGCAAGTACATTAAATATGTAAATAAATTAAAAATGAAAAACCTTTATGGAAAGATAACTAAAAAGAGGTTAGAAGGCAACTTATAAATAACACATTTTAAAAATTTGTTTTTCAGGATCTAGTTCAGGTTCAAAATTAAAAGGTCCTGAACTGAGTTTAAAAGGCACCCAGCACGTCACGCAAGCAGGCCAGACACTGCATCTCCAATGCAGGTAAGTGACTGTGTTGGTTTGGGAATAATCTAGTCACCATGCCTAAGGCACAATCATTCCCTGGCAGAGTAAAAAGGTAGGGACCTCAGTGATCTCCTGTGATCTGCAAAGTGCAAACTATACCCTCCAGCTTCCCATGAAAGGGGATTCATGGGGAAGGGAGAGCATTACTCACTCAGGGAAATGGGGGAAGGGATGCCCAGATAGTTCTGCGTCTTCATTCTGAGTATTGTTCTGCAGCTTTTCTGAATGTGTTGCTTTCCCGTAAAGAGGAAGATGACTACACTTAAGAGAGGACTTCCACTTCCTAATAAAATGAATACTTAGGAACTGGTGCTGAGCCCAGGGCCCAGCCATAAATACGTTTTGTTTTCTTATCTGTGATTGCAGGGGGGAAGCAGCCCATCAATGGTCTTTGCCTGAAACGGTGAGTAAGGAAAGCAAAAGGCTGAGCATAACTAAATCTGCCTGTGGAAGAAATGGCAAACAATTCTGCAGTACTTTGACCTTGAATGCAGCTCAAGCAAACCACACTGGCTTCTACAGCTGCAAATATCTAGCTGTACCTACTTCAAAGAAGAAGGAAACAGAATCTGCAATCTATATATTTATTAGTGGTAAGACTTCCATTTTCTACATTCTGTTTGCTGTTGCTTTGCAATGAGTCATAAATCTACCCTGGTCCATTGGAAGGATTGCTTTCCTAGTGAGTGTGAAAGAAACAGGTTAGGAAAGAGATTCCATCCTAGTTGTAGACACTTTCATGAATGTCAATTTTAACCAGAATTGTCAAGGCCTGGTCAGTCACTTGTGTGCTCCACAAAGAGAGAGACTGGTCTGTATAGGTGACCTCTGTACCCACAGCTCCTAGCACAGTATGTGGCCCATAGTTGGATGAATAAGTGAATAAAAGGATTTTAGTTCTATTCCTTAGTTATTGAGAAGCCCAAAATAGAATACATGATTTTTGTCATTTAACACAGCTGCATTCTCTTATATGTTGGAACTGTAAAATACTGTTGTTTCTACTAAATTAATAAACACAATGTTGCTGTTATCTTGAGTGTTATTTAACTGGTTCCAATGGACAATGTTGTATTATTTCATGTTCACTGAGGAACTACTACAATGACATGAGAACTGGCACTGACCAGGATACAGTGCAAAGGGTAAAAATGAATCATGTTTGATTCATTCTTTATGGTACTCGTAAAAAAATCATTTTCATTCATTCATAATTTTTATGATACTGTTTTTTCTTCCTTAGAGAATGAACAAATGAAGTAACATTCAAAGGGAAGAAATGCAAAATCTTTTAAGAAGTAGAAACTCACAGTAAAATCGGAACCCTGAGAAAGAATAATAAAAATGGCCTGTCACTTTCTTCTTCCTTGTTTAGTTCCAGTCAATTTTCACATCTTGAGGGGATTAAAGAAAAAGGCACACACACACAAGCAAGGCTGTAGAGAACACGAAGCACACAAACAAGGCTGTAGAGAACACGAAGCAATATTAGTAGGCATTTCAGACACAGAATCAGGTTTAAAAAAAAAAACAAAAACAAAAGAAAACAACAAACCATCAACTTCAATAGCTAAATATACATTGTGGGTCTACCTTCTGGTGAGTTCAAGAACTGGGTCTTTGCATTGGAGGTAGTACAACAGAATTAATGTTTTAGTGAGGTAGTTTTTTTGGTTTTTTGTTTGCTTGTTTTGTTTTGTTTTGTTTTGTCTGAGATGGAGTCTAGCTCTCTCACCCAGGCTGGAGTGCAATGGCACGATCTCAGCTGACTACAACCTCCCCCTCCCAGGTTCAAGCAATTCTCCTGCCTCAGCCTCCCGAGTAGCTAGGATTACGGGAGTCTGCCACCACTCCCGGCTAATTTTTTTATTTTTAGTAGAGACGGGGTTTCACCATGTTGGTCAGGCTGGTCTCGAACTCCTGACCTCAGGTGATCCACCTGCCTCAGCTTCCCAAAGTGTTGGGATTACAGGCATGAGCTACTGCACCTGGCCATGAGATTTTTTTTAATTTGTGAAATAAGGCAACTAGACATTGTTTTCCCTGAGCATAACGTGTACATATCCAGATTCAGGATTAGTCTTAGGAGACAGCAGAACAGTTGCCTGTTATTGACAGTAACCTCTTTGTAGCTGCCATCAGCCTGATTTTGACTGAGCCACTTTCATGTCCCCAATCCTCCAAATTCTGTTTTGACATTTTGCACTTGGTCAGCGGGTAGATAACTGTAAGGGACTAACCATCCAAGCAGTTTGCCATCAAGGGATGCAGTCAGCTCACTTCCACGTAGGAGTGGGAGGTAGGCCGGGGAACTTTGCTTGGGGAAGTCATCCTGCTTCTAAAGCAGGGATGAAAGGATGGCAGGCAGGAATAAGGAAGGGTGGAGGAGGTGCAGCATTAACAGCAGAGACTTTCAGAGAGGTACTTTTGCAGCTGAGGGGGAAAGAAAACATGCTTGATAGTGGTGGAAAAAGCCATATACTCAGCCATCTGTTCCCTTTCTCTAATTCCACATAGCATATTGTGTTCTTTCCGACATTTGTGGAGAAAGGAAAACACTGCAGTGAGTCACAGACTGCCCCTGTCTCTCTAGGGGAGAGGGAGAAAAATGTACTCATTCTAATATTTTCATAAAACTTTCTCCTATGGGTTTATCAGTCTGACTTGCAAATTAAACACTTAAATGAATAAAAAGAAAACTATCTCTTTTTGTTTTCTGATAAACAGTGTTCAGCTATTTTCACCTTTAACTCCTCAACTATTCAATAGACACCATGGCTTTATGGAGCCAGGAAGTACAAGCCTCTCCACTCAGTCCCCTACTATCACAAAGGAGAGACACTGCTACTTAGAATTAGTTCCATTTCAACTACACAACAGAGCAGATCTGGCAAACAATCATGACTTTGAGTGTCAAATTCATTGTTCATCTAAGCCCTGGGATGGCACAGTCCATGTCTGTCCTGGTTACTTTTATCCGCAATGTGCCTCCCTGGTAGAGAGCCTTGCACATATTAAGAAATCAATAATACTTGCTAAAGGAATAAACGAATGGATTAACAGGTGCTGTGTGGAATACCATGTTAAAATTGACATTGAGGATAAATTCCAGGCTTAGTGGGAAAAAGTGCCATGATTGATTATTGATGTCTCGTGTAAGACTGTGGGGGAGCAGTGGCCATTAGGTCATGTATTTTTCGTGTCTGCCTTCCTGTAATAGTCCACAACCATTCGCAGAAAATTACAAGTTCCAATATCATAAAACGCTTGCATAATTTGCTGGACATCAGGAAATTATCTACCACAAAGATTGTTTTTGGATAAGGAAGGATTGTGAAATGCATTGTATTTCATAGGTTATTATGGAATACACATATATATACAAACATATACTGTGAATATTATATGAGCTCATTGGAAAAATTGGTATGATAATATTATGAGACTACTATTTTTAAATAGCATTGATACTAAAAGATGTTGGAATCAATAATGGTAACCATAGAAGAGCCTTCTGAATCTTGTTTGCTAATTGATTTAATCAGCAAATATTTAGGAAACAGTTACTATGGGCCTGTCACTGTACTACTGTGAATAGTAACACCTATTTTGTTATTTGTTTCCTGGTAGGGTGATATTGGTCTCATAATCACACCTTGTTAAAGTCCAAGATAACTGTGATATAATCCATTAAACAATCATAACTTTTCCACGGAGCCTAGTATTTTATATATCTCTCTTTTCATTATTTTATTAACTCTCTCTCTGAGAAAATTTGATCTTCTGCTTCCATTGTTACTGAACACTTCCATGACAGGTTTATTTTAGTTCAGGAGCACAAAACTTATCTCTGATGACTCAGAGCATTGTCTCTGGCACTAATAAAACTCCAACCATTTCCTAATACACAGCTGTGATTATTCGCCAGATATTAGCTTGGTTATCATGTATTTATTATTGTTGAATATTTACTTTAGAATATGTTTGCGGGATTTCAGCCCCGATAAGCATCTGCAGATTATTGGGATTTCATTTTATTTTTCTCCGAGGATGAGTAACCGCATTTAGACACGTCTTTTGAAAAGGTAGATTTGTAGTCTAATAGCGTTTTAAGAAAAAGAATCAAGAGTGCAGCTCTGTCTACATATCATGAAATCCAGCATGCAAATTATGAACAAACTGTTACTTAGGCATTATTGACTGCCTGCTGCGTAACAGGCACTGTTCCCACCTGAGCACTGATTAGGATGTAACCTCTGATATGTAATGCTCAGAAAAATCAATATCAGCACTTTGTCATTCCAGCTTGTGTAAATCCACCAAACCTCTAGCATAATGTAGTAAATCAGTTTAAGCACCCAAGGAATTATATTTAACTACTTTACTTAATTACCGAATTATCTAGTAAATTTAAGTTTCCACCAATACAATAATTTCTTATATTTATTTATTTTCACTTAAACAAATGGTTTCATTTACTTTATGCCATTTAATCCTCACAACCATCCAATGAAGCATCATTCTGTTCATTTTACAAGCGAAGTACCAAGAATCCACTTCACATCAGGGCTCTGTAGGGAGTCATGGGAAAGTGCTAGCACTGGAATAAGGTGGTCAGCTTTTCCCTTCACATTCTCAGTGGCAGGAGGAGATCGGAAGGGGCAAGACTGAGGCAGGAAGACCAGATAGGGGCCTGCTCTGTGCATCAAAGCAGGTGGAAGGCGGTGTCCCGAGTTCACTTTGGTTGTGGTGGGGAAGGAGAGTTAATAGAATTGGGGGATTCATTGGCTTTGGTTATCAGAGGTTTAGTGGCTGAGGGAAAGAGGGGAATCAGTGTGACACTGAGAATCCTGGAAGGGGCCACTTGGTCCCACAGCCAGGTGGAGCTTTGCCACACTAAATTACATTGATGCAAAGGCACCATCATTATCATCATCCTCTCTGGATATACCCTTGGTATGGCTTTTGAATCATAATAGTGGAAAATATGGTATACATTTGTAAAAACTGCTTTCTTAATGAATTGAATATAGCTACAAAATACCAGGTCATAAACAAAAAGTTGAAATGGAACTAATTACAAAGCACCTCCTAATTACAACAGAATACAATTCTTCTACCAATTTCTAGAAGAATATTAATGTTGGGGCTATTTAGGAGAACCTCATCCCCTTGGAGAGAAAAAGGAGCACTTTTGCACTTCTTTTCTGACACTCTGGTCTACACAGGAAATTGGCTCTAGGTCAGCCTTTTCTCACAGTTAGAAGATTTCATTGAAAATATTATTGTAATGTGTTAGTTATGACTGTAAAGTAAGAAAACTGACCAGACAAGTTTTTTAATGGCATCTCCAAAGTGTTTAAGACTTGTCAATATCTTTAATTTAGTTAGCAAGACCTTAAACTCAGGGTGTTGAGCTCCCAACACCCCACACCGTGAGGTTAGTTTATCTCTCTCTCACTAGCCGTAAGCTTCTAGGGTCTATTTAAACATAATATCTCCTCTTGAAAGATTATAATCGAAAAGCAAAAATGATGGGGGTGGGTGGATCCCTTCTAGTTCATCCCTGTAAAAGAAACTCATCTCTTCTCTT